GCCGAGAAACAGTACAAAGGGATCATGGACTGCGTGGTGAGAATCCCCAAGGAGCAGGGCTTCCTCTCCTTCTGGAGGGGCAACCTGGCCAACGTGATCCGCTACTTCCCCACCCAAGCGCTCAACTTCGCCTTCAAGGACAAGTACAAGCAGATCTTCCTGGGGGGCGTGGACCGGCACAAGCAGTTCTGGCGCTACTTCGCGGGTAACCTGGCTTCCGGCGGGGCGGCTGGGGCCACCTCCCTCTGCTTTGTGTACCCGCTGGACTTTGCCAGGACCAGGCTGGCTGCCGACGTGGGCAAGGGCAGCGCCCAGCGCGAGTTCAGCGGCCTGGGCGACTGCCTCACCAAGATCTTCAAGTCCGACGGCCTCGGGGGCCTCTACCAGGGCTTCAGCGTCTCGGTCCAGGGCATCATCATCTACAGAGCTGCCTACTTCGGCGTCTACGACACTGCCAAGGGTGAGAGGGGCCCGGGGGCCCGGGCAGCCCACAGAGGGCTTGGTGGTCAGGACCCTTGTGTTTTCCTAGTCTCTGGGCTAAGCGGGGGCTCCCGAAGGAGGCGGCGGCAAGGTGTGGCCACGGCCAGAGGATCGCCCTTGCCCTCTCCTGAGACAGACTCTGGCCCTGAGCTATGGAGAGGAAGGGGGGCACCCTGGCCCCGCTCCTCCCGGGGCGCCGGCTGGTTACTGGGTGTCTCCGGGAGCCGCAGCCAGGGCAGCGGGGTCCCCTGGCCGCGGGCGGGGCGCAGGCGCCGCAGCCCCTTCCCCACCCGCGCCGGCCTCACCGCCCCCCGGCTTCTTGGCTCTGCCCGCAGGGATGCTGCCGGACCCCAAGAACGTGCACATATTCGTCAGCTGGATGATCGCGCAGTCGGTGACGGCGGTGGCGGGGCTGGTGTCCTACCCCTTTGACACCGTGCGCCGGAGGATGATGATGCAGTCGGGCCGCAAGGGGGGTAAGCGCGCACCCACGGGTCCAAGGCAGGCTCTGCCCTCGGGGAGCACTGTTTGCTCGTTTCCAATCTTCACTGTCCTGTTAAATTGGAAGGGGGGTGAGCCCGCACCCACGGGTCTAAGGCAGGCTCTGCCCTGGGAGAGCACTGTTTAGTCGTTTCCAGTCTTCACTGTACTGACTGTTAAATTACATAAGAACTCGGGAAAGATTCTCAAGGAATTGATAGAGAACTTGGTTATCATGTAGATAAGGGCATCAGAAAGGAGGTATTTAAAGGTGAACCTCACCAGGTACCTAGCAGGATAGAGGCCTTAGGCCCTTTCTCTTAGAGCAGCGGTTTTCCACCACTGTGCTGCCAGCCTTTCAAAACATGCAGCACCTGTCTGTTTAGTTGGGGCACTGACCTTTCCCTTAGATTGTCAAATTAAAAAAATGACAACCGCCAACACAAAAATACCTGTCCAGTGTGGATGAATCACAATTATACCTTTTTTTGGTCAGATCGGCAAAAAGTGTGTATTTTTGTGTGTGCAGAATTTTAGTTTATGTGCCAAGAGGCGGAAAAGGCTGAAAACCGCTGCCTTAGAGCCTGGGTGCAGAAACAAGGCGAAAGAATTGAAGTAATTACCTGGTTTATTTATAAATGATTCTTAGCTAGTTATGACAAGCAGGGAAGGGTGATTTAGGTGGATGGCCTCAAGCCTCAGGCAGTCTGTTGTGATAGAAAAAGTTTTGGCTCCCATAGGTCGAAACATATGAAATAGCCATTTTTAAAGTAAAAAAAGTCAAGTGCTAGTTTCATTTGGTTCAACCTGATAGTTGTGGCTCGTTTCACTGTATAATCTTGGGCTAGTATAATCGGAGACTAGGCCTCAGTTTTCTCATCCATAAAAAGGGGCACTACCCAGTTTAATACTTCTGCTCCACTTTGCTCCCTGTTTTCCAGTTTGATGGTCTGTGAATTAGCTGGTTAATTGCCACAGTTCTCTCCTTGAGTTAAAGGAATAGGACTGACGAGAGCCTGCCTAACAGTTACACAGGAAAGGGGATGTCTAGTTGAATGCAGCATAGAGCTGGGACTTAGAGCTCAAGTGACTTTAACTCTGGTAACAGGATGTGCAGATGTCTTTCAGAGGAAAAGTCTCTTTCCTCCAGAATTACGGAGCCCTCACCAACATTTGTTTCCACAGCGGACATTATGTACACTGGGACACTGGACTGCTGGAGGAAGATCGCCAAGGATGAAGGAGGCAAGGCTTTCTTCAAAGGTGCCTGGTCCAATGTGTTGAGAGGCATGGGCGGTGCCTTTGTGTTGGTGTTGTATGATGAGATCAAAAAATTCGTCTAATGTAATTAAAACGAATTCATTGGTTCCAGACCCGTTGTGTGGTTTAATAGACTTTTCCTAGGGGAAGTAAAAAGAAAGATCTGGCATAAAACCAGACTGAAAGGAATACCTCAGAAAAAAAAAAAGCTTCACTGAGTGTTCATTAAACCACGAATGTATTTTGTATTTATTTTACATTTAAATTCCCACAGACAATATAAAGTAACGTATCATACTTGTATAATTAACTGAAGAACTGATAATAAAGAAGTAACCGAATGTGAAACCAATAAAGACCACTTAATGCATGTTCTCTACTGAATTCTTATTAACTGCCAAATGGATTAAAAATAAGACCATAAGTGCCCCTTTTCTAGCATGACTCATTTATAGATCAGTGGCCCAGCTTCTAAATGGCAAATGTTATACTATGTATCATAGAGGTACCTAGGTGCTTTAAGTTCTGGCTTCCGAACCGGAGCAGGTTATGCACTCTTGCCTCATTCCACCCAGACAGAGGCTCAAAGTAATCTCCCCTTATTTCACTCACTCTTTAGGAATTCTGAGGTTCCCCTGAGAGCCTTAAATCATAGTTTCAAGAGTTTTGCATGTTAGGAAGGAAGTGCTTTGTATCAGTGCCACTGGAGAACTGTGAGACAATTTTATGGCAGGTGGACACTGCTCATTGAACATCATGGAGCATGTGAGTATCACTGACAATTAGGTTCTGCGGATTCGGAAAGGGGGCAGGAGTGAGGAGAGAGCACACTGGTAAGTAATGTTACCTTTGATACAATGAGTCTTGGTTGCGGGGGAGCTGAAATGTGGGAAGTGGTAGAAGGTGGGCCTTGAAGCAAATAACTAGACTTAGATACATGGCTCTAGAAAGCATCTGCCAGTGTTAGATACATGGCTAGAGGTTTCTGCTAACACTTCTGGGG